TTTTTTATCTTATTAAAAATATGCAGTACATACTCATTATAAGTTCTTAATATTTAAAATATTACACTTTTGAAACATTTAGAAACATATTATTTTTATGCTAAACATATATAATTTACAGCAAAATAGTTTAAATTTGATAACTTAAAATTTTATATGTCTTAGGCCTGTTGGAGAACCACTATGAACAAAACGTACCGTGCTATCTATCGCAATGTGATGTAGAAAATGATAGTGATTTGCCACGGAAAAAATTGATGAATATTTGACCAATATGTGTGAATATATACACAATTAATTTTATAATAAAAGTGTCATGTTCTAATTTTAATGAAACTTTGTATACAATATGAGTTACGTAAGCAGATGAATTTTGAAAATTCTTGATTATTCTGAACCGTACAGAATATATTCTATGTATAATACATATATTTGTAAAAGTATGTTGGATTTTTTTAGAATTAACACCTTCGTTAATGGAATAATAAATGATTAAAGTTTATAGATCAAGCGTACTAAAAAAAAGATAAATGATTATAATTAACATAATAAATTTTTAAATACGTAGATTACAACATTATAATAAATTAATTATTAAAAAAATTTTTTTGTATTTTTTTTTGTATTGTTGATTTATTAATTTATGCTTTATGAAAGCATGTTCGATATTTTTTTCTTTAAGTATTAACTGCTGCATTTACTAATCTTTGCTATCGTTTCTATTTTTAGGAATATCCGTCATTAAAATTGTCACTAAAAAAGAATCAATCGCAGTATTCGTTTTATCATTAAATGTTTTATAATCTCCGACGTTAAAATTATATGCGACAAAACAATGCAATCGACATCATAAAAATGTATGTAGTAAATCACTATCAAACATGTATCTACACGGAAAAATATTCTTCAAGGACACAACTTTATCTTTTGAAAATTGCAATACTTTTTTTATTACTGTAAGATTTATGTCATTTGTAAAGTTAATGCATTATACAGGATGTCCATCAGAAACTCGTCCGCAATAACTTTTGAGGTGATTTGGAAACCCGAAAAGAAGGAAAAAAGCTATAAATATATAAGCTATAAGTTTATATATTTATAATTTAATAGGTCCGAAGTTGTTTCCTAATTATATACAAGATATTTCATATTTTATGTCGAAATATGGCATGATAAGGTATAAAATATCTCGTAAAGTATTATATTTTGGGTAACTTTACCTTTACACTTTTATATGCAGAATAATTAGAGGAATTATATTATGTAAAAAAAATATATAATTCTATTACACACACGCGCGCGCACACACCACACACACACACACACACACACACACACACACACACACTTTGGCAAACAGAGCCTTTCTTTGTTACGTGCGCGATAACATCCTACTGATCCTACATAATAATTTCGATTTGTGAAAATTATTTTCAGAATTTCTGCATTTAGCAAAAATTTTAAATACTTCAGCAAAATCGTTCTTTCCATGTGTAATATATATGTGTGTGTGTGTAAACGGAATAATTTTTTTTTTTAGTTTAAGAAATTTGCGAATGTAAACTCTCGGAAGAGCACA